GCACATACCTCACTATCTCCTCAAAATTAAAACTCCAGACAAAGTATCAAAAACCAACTTTATACCACACCACTCTCCCAATACTGTTTTCTTCAAATGTTGGACACAGCTGTGAAGTTGATCATGGAGTATTTTCTTTAAAGCTTTCCCAGAACATCAGTCTCATGTACTTGACTGACTACAAACATCTTTAAAATGTTCTTTTTGTCTCAGTAGATGACATAGTTTATGACTTTCTTTCAACCCTTAAATAGAGTCAGAAGGCCAAAGATGGATAATTTTATAAAGAATTAGTTGTAAGCAGAAAACCAAGGCAAACTAACAACATTTAAGCCAAATCAACATAACGTGGCTATTAAAGATACTGGCAGAATCTACAAGCAACAAGTTCAGAATTTGATAAAATGTAACTGCTCTAACCTCCATGTGCAGTATCTAGCAATTTTATTTTTTTTCTTACGATAACACTTCTAGATGCATGAAGAACTAAAACCATATTTTTTTAAAGATTAAAAATATTTGGCAGATCAGCATTAGAAACTGGATGTAAAGAACTGTCCTTACCAACTTACAGGTATCTTAAGATACAATACACAGGACAAAAATCACATCTTGAACACATGTTCAAATATGTTTATTATAATAAAGTCACTGAATATGATTTGAATATGCTTCCTCTGGTTGTTGGCGTTCTGCTTTCTATTCCAAATTATGCAGTTGGCAACTTCTGATTTTTATTTAATAAATAGACCAATAATTCTTGCTAAAGAAATATAAGCTTTGGCAATTTACACCATGTCAAAGTTACTACTATTCTCACTGGAAAATTCTGTTTTAATAACAAAGGCTTCTGGAAGTATCTTGGTATCTATTTGAAATGTGTCTCCCACTCAGCCATTTGTACTCTACAGTCTCAAAGTGCATTCTGATTTTGTAGAAACGAGGACACTTACCTGTGAGAGGTATTTCAGGTGTGCTCTGTGCCACACCTTCTGATCAGACTGGGTATTGCTCTGAAACTATAAGCTACATAACCAAAAAGCTTCACCTGCTTCAGTTCCTGGTTTCCCAGACTTTTCTTCATGCTTTTCAATATAAACACATACAGTTTTAGGTACAGTTATTTATTCTCTATGTAGTCTGCATATTCTTACATTATCGCAATAATAATCATCACCATAATCTTACATTACATACAGACATCTGTATGTTCTTTATCTGCAAAAGAAATTAAAGATTGGCATTTTCCACAGGATTCAAGGTACTCAGATGCCTAGACAACAGCACAACCTCTGAGTGGAAAGGCACAGTGACACCACCTCTTCCCAAACTTCTCCATTAGTGGACAGACATAGAAGAAGGAAGAATAAATATGTTAGCTTGGACCAGCCAGTTCTGTGGAGCTGCAGTGACTTCTGCTGACAACGTATTTGGTCTTAAACATCTTTTGTTTCATTGCAATTAAAAACAGACTAGAACAGATCTCAACCCATTGACTGCACTTCAAAAAATAATCTGAATTATGCTTTAATCCATGCAAATTATCAATAAAATAAAACTGATCAATAGTCCAGACCTCTGCTGTGTCAGGTAACAGTCCGAAAAAGAAATCACATGCAGAGCAAGCCAACCAAAAATGCCTTATCTGGACCAACTTTGAAAAGCACTGCTCCTAAATAGGCTATGGATAAAAAGCTTGATAAATGAATGCATTTTAACTCAGCCATTTTTAAATACAGCGTATTTTCATGACTTGGAAACATAAACAATTGAAATTCTGCTCCTAGCTTCCTCTATGTCAAGGCAGTTTCTTTGCAAGAGCTCCAGAGACAGAGCTGAAAATTGTTTTCTTGTATCTACGCAACTGAAATTTTAATATTCCTGTTCTTCAGAGTCCAAAATCCCCAAATTTTTGCAAAAGCTACAGGCACGGATATAGCTAATGAACAATAATTAAGTTACTAAACAAAATGTGTCTCTTAGATTTCCAGTTCCTCTTTTACCAGTCTCATCTTCCTCATTCATAGCCTGTGAGTGCACTCTCACAGGCTATGAATTACTCACAGATGAACTGCTTTCAGCCTCTTGTTGCACTTTCTACACTTTTTGAAATGAAATAGTCAAGGATTTGGGGTTTACAACCCTGGCATTACTCGACCCACAGGCTATTAGTTATTAATATGAAGTATAACAACTTCAGGAGATATCCACACAGTAGGATAGCCAGTATCTTGGCAGGGTTTCCTTTTTGCTTGATTTGAAGCAGAAATGTATCTTTTCATTTTCCTCTATTCTAAATGCACAGTAGCCACCATGCTGTTCAGCATGCAGCAGATTGATCTCTTTTGCTCCCCAAGGTTTTATGTAGAATTGAAATCATGAAGCTGCTAATTGCGTACATGGAAACAAAAACAGCAATCCAGCAAATACTGTGTTGTTCCCATGCTATGATCCTGGACCCTGTTTAGCTACTAAGCAGTTACTACATTTTATATCAAATTTCTTCCAAATTCAGTAGATAGCATAATGAAGCCAAATACTAAATTCTCCAAACCACACATACTTACAGTTGAGCCCCCTAAAAATAACTACACGTTTAATGACGGCTGCATTTTAGTGAGACACTTCAACCACAGACAATATGCTCACAAGACCACGATGGTTGGAAAAGTGTGAATATTTGAAATAATATGAAGGAATATCTAAGCTAGTAGAGGTAGTTTCCCTGTTCAAGGCTAAGATAAAGCAGTTTGTTGGATAATTTGCATGGAGAAATGAGAGGAATGGAGAACTGGAAGAAAACAGAGGCTGAGATTGCTGAGGGACAAGACTGTCCTCCTGACAGTGGCAGACCTGCAGGATTTCCTCCATTTTCTGCAGTACTCTTCGACTGAGAAACAGCCTCCTGACAGAACAGAGAAGGAGTGGAGCTTTATTACAACTGCAGTGAAAATTAAGTGTGTGGCTCCCACTACTGCATGTAAATCCTCTTGGAGCTTCTCAACTGTCATCTCACGACAAAGACTGATCAACCAGTACAGGGCATCTGCAAGGAAACTTACCTGCTGTCCACTCGTCAAGTCAGAAATGACAAGCTCATCTGCCTGGACTAGCAAGCAAAAAGTATTTCACAATCTTGTTCTGTGTTAAGATGCAAATACTTTAGAAAACACCACTTATGAATTTCCAAAAATTCTCCAACTGAAGAAGTTATGAACAATGATAAAAGACAAATATTTAGGAATTAATCAATAATCATCAATTTAAGCTCATTTTCATTTTACTGTTTCTTGTATAAAGTTTTTGAATTCACTCTTGAGTTCATATTTTCTAACTTTTACTACCTAGTTATCTCAACAGGATGGATACAAAAAAATTTCCATCAGCACATTTAATGAAAAACATTTCTTTCAAGCAAGGCACAAAATTTAGATTTATTTACGTAATTTGATTAATCCCAATTTCTGTTTTACATCAAGTACAAAAACCAACTTGAATGTAGGTGTAAATACAATTTCCACAAAGTAGTTCAAGGAAATTTAAAATCAGTTATGTATCCAGAACTGTAAAGCACAATTAAAAGCAGCCCAGGATATACAGATTGCTCACTCACTGCTGAAAGAGTTCATAATGTATGAATATATTTAACAGCCTCCAGTAACAAGTTATCTCCTTTCTAATTTTTCATTTGAAATGCATTTAGCAATTCTGTACCTAACAAAAGAAGCATTAAAGAATGAGAAGTGCAGATAACTTTTCGTCAAGCTATATGTGGCCTAAATGAAACACATACACCATTAAAAATTAAATAACAGAACAAAGACTTCTATATTTTGGTTTAACATTACCACGAACATAAATGCTAAGATAATATAGAAAAATAGCAACAGGTTCAAAGACTTACATACTTCTCAAAGAACTTAAGGTATACTGTAGCTGCCTGAAATATTTTAACAATTACAGAAAATCGTATTTCCAAGTTTGGTATGTTCATATTTTCTAGATGACATACATTTAAGACAATCATCCAAGAACTTATTACAAATAGAAGCTTATTCATTTTTAAATCTGTATTAAAAAAAGAGTTTTGGCACTACCCATAAGGCAATGGATGATACGTACCTAAGAGAGCAGATCACATAATGAAAGCATAACGAGACGAAAATCATATTCTTTAACTTATTAAAGAAACTGTAAGACTTCAATTCTAATTAGAGAGGAAATTAAAGAATCAGCATTTGCAAGTCGCTAAAACACCCTATCCAAAATACTGAAGATTCTTTTTATACGCAACAGGAAATTGCTTTAAACTGTGAAGCCACTGTGCCATGTCTTGTGGTAGAACCTGGTATTTCTAAGGTTACTAAAATATCAAACTAGTTTTATTACCAGAAAATACCAAAAAGTTTAAGGAGAGGATTTTACTTAGGTAAGATGAAAAAAATACTCTGAGGTCCAGCTTTTGTTTATGGTCTATAAAAAAAAACAAACCCAAAGGTCATTCAGGTTCACTGAATAAAGACCACAGTTTCAAACTTTTTTTTTATTGATGTGGTTTTAACAACTTCCTTTTTGCATTTTCATCAGCTTTCATGCTAGTAGAACCTTAAAATTCAATTTCTTAGTGTTTCTACATTTGCACTGCAAAGACTGCAAGCCCAGATTTCACAAACTGTGGATTTAGTTTAAATTTAAAAAATAATCTTTGCATTTATCTTAAATTTATAAAAAGATTTTTTTTCAAAACTTAAGGCAAAAAACAAGTTTTATTGGTTATGTTTCTTTAAGTCTGAGCAGGTGTACGAGGCTGTTTAAATATCAAAATGTCATATACAGTATTACCAACAAAAGTCAAGAATAAGGCAGCATGCACCCTTAAGATGAAAAGAGAATTTAATTTTACAAGATGTTTAAATAATTCAAAGGCAAAAAGTGTTTCCTCTAAGAGTATCTTCATAAAACATGGAAATTTTAGAGGACATCAAGTTACTAAAATATTCCGTTCAACGTTTATACAAATACATTACTACAATTATAAGTTTACATACAATCAACTGACATCTCAGTGTTAACTAATTACTTAAATTTACAAGACAAACATAAATAAAGCTGTTAAAACAGGCAAGTACAGTACTGATCTATCATTCAGCACAATGCATTTTGTATTTCTTTCACCTTGAAAAGAGTCAGATTAGAATTGTGCGAAGTCATTCTCCAAACCTAGAAACAAAATAAAAGAGAAATAAGTATACCTATGCAGGTTTTACATAGCATGGGCATATACCAAATGCCCAAGTCCTGTTTTCAGGCATGTAATTTACCATTTAACAACCTTTTGTCTGTTCTCAGAAGAGGCCACAGTCTTTAAGGTTATTTTTAATAATGACATCAGTTACAGCATCGAAAACAAACTGCACATTTTTTGTGTCGGTGGCACATGTGAAGTGAGTGTAGATTTCCTTTGTGTCTTTTCTCTTGTTCAGATCTTCAAACTGACATTGAATGTAAGCAGCTGCTTCTTCATAAGTGTTTGATCCTAGAAGGAGAAAATTGCTCAGTAAGCAGGTTTTCAACTGAAAGAACGAAGTACAAATCTTTGAAGGAAGTGCTTCTTTGGAAATAGTTAACCTAAACCTGAAGAGGAGTAATTCCACAGCCATTGCTTGAAGATACCATAAATAAATCTTGAAGGAAACGTTTTGGACACATTTTTAAAAACAAGAACTAAGGATGCAATTCAATTCCAGCTGCAGGAAGAGTCTGTCCATTTACTTCAGTAGCAGACAGAGCAAGACATTAATTATCCATCACTGTTGTCTAGATTAGGATATTTTGTTTCCTTCATTCAAGTTAGTCACTTTCAATTTTTATGTTTATAAAAGGTTTGAGTTTTTCTTAAAGACATTTGGCATAAACATTTCTACTAAGCTTCTACTTTCAATGTACTATTTTCTATACAATGGAATAGTTTGAAGTTATAATGAAAACAAAAGGGCTAAGACTTGTTGAATGAAACCATCCTCTTTTGCTATGTATTTCTTGAATAAGCCACCTATATCTAACATGTATGTACACTCCCTGTTCAAATTAACTCCCATGTATGTTCAGGGATTCTTGCTAGTGAAAAAAAATAAATTTGGAAACAAAATAGGAGGACATCGGAAAAAAGGATGGACTAAATAATTATGCTGACAAGAGCTGCAGCAGTAACATTTAAATGCTATTAGTGGACTGGCATTATCTCATCTGGTTAAAAAGATGACTCTGAGTTAGCACAAGTTTATTTGTGACCCATAAAACCCTCTCTATCTTAAACTTTATTTCATTTAAGTATTTCAGATACTTAGATTTGTTAAACGTCTCCTGATTTGTGCATCAAAACTGAGGTAATTTAACCAAAAATTAGTTGACATGTGCACCCTCATCCAATACCTGCATATTCAGGGTAGCAAATAGTGAGAGGACTCCTTTTGATTTTTTCTTCAAAAAGATCTTTCTTGTTCAGGAAAAGAATAATAGAAGTGTCTGTGAACCACTTATTGTTGCAGATGCTGTCAAACAATTTCATGCTTTCATGCATCCGATTCTGTAATTGGAAAAAACCACCTCATTGTAATTTATCAAACTTCAGTAGTAAAATGGCAAACATATTTTTGATTAGTTACAAATGAACCAGGCAAGTTACAAAACCAAGTCTCTAAAGCATACAGAATCACATTTTGCCACGGAAAAAAAAGAGAGGCTAAGACTACTACAAAGAACGGTTTAAAAAACTACTATTTTTTTTTTCTCCTCATTTCCAGGATTAAGCTGTTTAATATTTTAGAAATTTTTGGCTTGTTTTGACATTTTGCAGTACAGATATTCCACAAGAGTTGCTGAGTTTTCAGCATAAGAAAAAAACAGTAGTTCTCTAGAATTAGAAAAAAAAACTCAAGTGAGCAGGTTTTTTTCCCCTTACCCTAATTTTTAACTCTGTATAAAAATTGTCTAAGTGCTTAGACCATGCTTCTTTAAGTAGCATGATGCTAGCTATGACGTTCTCTGACTACAAGTGACTTGAAAGGGTTTTTTTATTACTCTTTCCTCCCCAAACCGTATTTTGTAAGAAGTTACAGAACACAAGGAAGAGCTTAGAAGCCTGTTAATGATTCATATACAACCAGTAAGCATCACTTTAGACCACTCTGATAGTAAAATACACGGACTCTGTGCATCCTGGTATGGGAAGAATCACACTTTGAAAGAGGAGAAAGGAGTGAAGGAGAAGGAAGAGAAAATGATCTGCAACTAAGGAAAGAAATGAGAGAAACACATTTAGAAAGAAACAAAAACTGAAGACTGAGGTGTGAAATGTGAAGGGCAAAGCTCGTGTGGGGATGCTGGATGCAGAATAACAAGCGCAGAGGCTCAGCACTGTCTATCCTGTGCCGATAAGCACTAGCGGTCTAGCACTGAATCAACCAAGGGATACCGGGGGTGAGGGGGAAGCATCACAGCCTGATGCTACTTTGGTGAAGCTAAGCAGCTGCTTTTAAATGCCTTCTTTGTTCTTCCTGCCCCCCGACCCTGATCAAACACATAACGAGCCTTGTTAAGGGCCAACCAACACACCTTGCCAAGAGCATAAATCTAGCATTTAAAATCCTCCATTTTGGGGGAGAGGAAAGCAAGAATACCAACTATCAGATGGGCTAATGGGTCTGGACATATCTTTCCCTCCCCACATCAAACAGGGACACCTTCTTGGCAAGAATCATATTTAACTTTAGCACTAAGTATCAATCTATGTTTGCTTAATGTAGTATACGCATGATTAATGGTAGTTAATATTATAGAGATATACATTTGAGTTTAGGGATGACATTTACATTTGTGTAAGATAGTGCATTTATCACTGGCAATTTTGTATTTACTGCATCTGTTGCCTTAATAAATCATTTTTTTCAACTTTGCCAAACTGTTCCAGTGAAAGTCCCCAAGAGGGCTCTGAACAGGCAAACGTTGACTCTGATTAAGTGGCTGCTCACATAATCCCTATTAGACATAAACCAGTGACTGAGTCTGAGACTAAGACTGGATCCAGCCACATCTAGGCTCCTTTCTGAGGTGTTTAGAGAGCAAGGGGCTCCTTTCTGAACCTCATGACTCAATGAGAGGGCTTCCCTCCCCATAGCCACATATCAGATTCATACCATTTACACAACACGGGGAAAGGAAAACAAAAAATGAGGTACAGTAGAAGCAATAAGTCAAGAAATTTCTTATTGTATAGTTCTATCATCCATAGAGAGACTAAAATGTGTATTACTGACAATCTATCATTAATTTATGCATCCTTTAAAATATGAAAGTGTAGTTGAAAAGAACACTTCTCATAGTATTTCTTCTTAGAATATGAGGAAATACTTTGAAACAAAAGCATGAATTCTGTCACAATTTCTCTGAGACCTTTTACACAAAACCCTTATGTCTTAATGCAGTTCTACTCAAAAAGATGTATTTATAGCTTTCCTTTCAAACTTATTCAGTTTCTATCCAACAACTATTCCTTTCTTCAACATTAAGGTACTTGCCATTTCCTCATCTTCAGCCAAGACCAAGTCATAATCACTTAATGCCACACAAAAAATAATTGCTGTAACACCCTCAAAACAATGAATCCACTTCTTCCGCTCTGATCTTTGGCCTCCAACATCAAACATTCTGCAAAACAGAAGTGCAAAGCAAGAAATGAACTTTGGAATTTCTAGCTTACTTGAATGTTAAGCACTAAAATCTGAAAGTATCAGCTGTGTAAGTTTGATCACAAAATTTTAAAAAGCATAAAAATCTGCAACATTACTATTTAGTATCTCGATATAAAAAATATTTTAATAAAGCCTTAAGTCTTCCTATACATTTTTACAAAACATGAGAGTGAGAGACAAACACTAAAGAAAGCCTTATTATTTACAAGTAGTTTGTACCATATTTCATGAACAAAGTTGTGTTATTTTTTTATAGATTACAGAGTTAGCTTTACTAAATGTGAACTAGATGAAAGTGTTATTCAACCTTTAACTCAGATGAATAAAGAAATCCAAAATAAAAGGTGTTGATCAAAAATCTAAGATTCTTTAAAAGCAGAGTGGTGTCTGTTTTAATACTTGGAAATACTGCAATAGAGAAGTAACACTGACTTGATTATTGTCTTAGTATCCTGAGATTAAATACATAAAATCTAATTTTCACTTTTTCAAATTTAATCTGGAATCTCCAAATTCTGGTAAGTTTCAGCTCCTCTCATAAACCAAACTGCAACTTGATCTATTTTTCAACTGTCTGTGTTTGAATCAGATTTTTCTTTACCTTCAAAATGCTCTTAAAAGACAAAATAAGCATTACATAATAAGAATAATTTCTCCATCTAATAATAAAATCATTATTTGGAAATGCGGTTAAGTGAGAAAACTGAGCTATAAAGGTGAGCTTTGTTTCTTTTGAATTCTCAGTTTAGATCTAGATATAGAGTCCACATTCCAGAAGTTAACAGTAGAGGATCAGCAAATTAGCACAATGTGAACAGGTTTGGTTTTCTCTGCTGTCTAAATGCTTTAGATGGCCATTTATTAACTATTATGGGCTACAGCCGCTCTGAGAGATGGAACTTTCATTAGACATCATTAGGAACAAAGTATTTTGCAAGCCAGATAAACAGTATCCTGATACAAGGAACTGTGAATTGGGGTGGGGGCCAGATGGGAATGGACACACAACACAAAAATAAAAAGGAGACTATCAGTGATATCCTGCAGTTAAGCAACACATACATCATACGGTCTGGTCTTCTCAAAGAGAGAAGACTTTCCACTTGTCTCCTTCCTATCATAGAAAAAGTCTGTTGTGTCAAATTCCTGCAACGACTTACAGCTTCAAAACAATTCAAATATGTCACATATTACTTCCCTTGCTATGTTAGTCAATATTATATGATGCAAAAATTTAATTTTGCCTCCTACTTGCAAGCAAATGTAATTAATCCTTTTTAAGAAGGGCTGACTTTTCTCTTCAGGGGTTTTCACAATTAATTTCAACTTTTTTCTACATTGTCACAAAAAAAGAGCTTAGAATTCAGTGGATATACAAATGTTCAAATGGGAGAAGGAAGACAGAAGAGAAAAAACACAGGACAGACCAGTTCCTACATCTCCATTCTCTTTGCTGTAAGAGAATGGCCAGCTCTACCATGAAAGCCTCCTCTGGGTAAAAACGTCACACAAACAGGAAGAGGAATGCAGACCAGAACAGCAACCGTTAAGATGCATAGTTACAGTTCTCATAAAAATGCTTCAATATGGCCTAAAATCATTCAGACCTATATTCATAATAAGGCTATCACATTGAGGGCTTTTGACAGTAGGGCATGTAGGGTTGAACAACAACAAAGCTATTCTTTGTAGGACAGAATACAAGACACAAAAACTAACTGAGAAACTGAACAAGAAAATTGCTCCTTTATTTTTTTGCAGACACCAGCTTCTAGAGCACATGAGAAATTAAATGCTTTATACTGACAGCAGTACCATGATATCAATCTGCATGGACCTTACAATAATATCTTACAGCACTGCTCAATACAAAAATTTTAACACTAAGATAACTGAGAGGAGTAAGAAAAATGTCACAACATTCCTTATTAATAAAAACCTCTAGTAAAAAGTGTTCTTTCAAAGACAACCAAAAACGTGTGAAGAAAATAGGTCTGCACAAGAGGGATTGTATGATTTTGGCTTATTCAGACTATGGCATCAGTATGTATTCAGGAAAGGGAGGGAAAAATGCAGAACGGACAACTTCTAGAACATAAAAGAAATAAAATTTCAGATTTTCATTCACAGATACCAATTTTAGCCAGAAACGTTAGCTTCAGTTCAGAATAGCCTCTCTGCCAGTGGTGCATGTCTCCAGTGATGCTTGTCTCTTTTATGTGGTTGTCTTTCTAACAGTGCATCTAACAAACTCCCAGTTCTTTTTGCAAATCATCTTTTTTCACTCATCTTTGACATTTTTATACACTAAAATCTAGTGCTGGATTAAGTTTTGGCACCAGTTTCACAGTGAACACCTCAACAGCAAGTTTTAAGAAACTGATGGATTGTTTTATGTAATGAAGCTTCTTCTCCATGTTTTCAGTACAGATAAATACAGGCATACAGGAAAAACAAACACAAAAACCACAAAAAAGTCCCCAATCAAATGTATCTGACACACAAAATTCTTTTAAAAAAGGCTGCAAGTATCTTAGAGAATAATTAGCCATTCTGAACAGAGTGGGTCTTAAAGTTCATAAGCTTTCCACCTGCCCTGTTAGAAGCCATACTGAGACCTGTGAGGTTACAATCACAAAAGACTGAAACATTCATAGAAGCTGCTTAATCTAGGGATGAGATTTTTAAAAGTTTTGACAAAATTATTTACAGATTCCACCTTCCAATATGGGAGGGGGTGCATACAGGGCAAGCCCATCATTTAAGCACTTGCCTCAGGTGCTAAAATTCATAGTACCATCCATAGTTTGACGGATTTTCAGAAACCTTAGTGTTCCGAGTTGCTAGATTTTTATTTTTAAAAAAACAAACACATTAAAATAAGTAGAGCAGGAAATAAACTAGAGGAAAAACAAAGACCTTTGGCTTTCTGATCAAGAATTGTAAGAAATATAACCTGTAACAAGGTCTTCTACCTGGGTATATTCCTGTGCAAGTGACAACACTCAGAGCCCATTTAATGTTCTACAATGGAATAATGCCATCTTAAAAGTATTTTAAAGATTATCCCTGTTAGAATTTAAAAACGAAAAAAAAAAGATTCCTTTGAAGTGTTCCTTACTTTAGCAGTATCTGTCTTTCAGAGGAAGTCTTTGGATACTACCCTACATAAATACAGGTCAGCCACCTACTCCTACTTTGTTCTCAAATACCTAGTGATGGTTATACCAATAGAAAGGTATTTTGTACTTGTGTAGCTTAATAATTAACACCTTGAATTTTAGTAATTATTTTTGTCAATTCTAATGCTAATGTTTCATGATTTTGTACTAAGACCTGAGTTTCCATAAGAATTTGTTAAATTATCAGAAGAACATTTTTTACAAAATAAGGTGTTCTTTGAAGACAAAAGTAGTGAATAATCAGACTCAATTTCTGAAATAGTCCATAGAAACAGGATGCAGATGACTTGCTATTTGCATTTTAGATTGAATCAATAATCAAAGCTATGCTAAGTGCTTTACAGAGAAGGCTGAAATGAGGCTTAACCTCAAAGAACCTAAACACATACAGCAAAACATGAAAGAAAAGATAACAAAAAAAATTGAAGTACACAATATTGCACAGTTAGTCATGCTTATGTACCCTCACCTTGGCATAATCAATCCTTTTTTGCCTTTAGTTCACCTTAAAAGTTCTTTTAAATGTCATGTAAGAGTATACTTCAAGCCCTCCCAATAAGCATTATTAAGCCTTTCTCCTAAGGTACCTAAATTTAAACACCTGCTGTACAGGTGTTTAAATGTACAACTTCACAGCTACGTAGTTCCAAAGGTCTGTCTTAGAGCTACAAATTTTGTAGAAGTGTAATCATATGGTCCTTAAAATAGATTTTGTAAGACTGTAATCATATAGTTCTTATAACAGTCCTAATAAGCAGTATGGACTGGAAGTAGTTTAAATAATAAATCTGCCATGGTTTAGGGCTGGGCTGGCCACTAAATGCCGTACAGATGCTCTCCATTAACCCCTCTCCCCTCCCCAGAAGGGAAGAAAAAGAGAATAAGGGAGAGAGACTTGCTTACAAATTTATTGAGTGTGTAGAAAAATTTAAACCCATCCACAATAGGGAACTGAACAAGAAACATCAGAAAGTGAGAAAATGAGTGAGAAATAATGAAAAGTGAAGCTTGTCTAAGGACTACTCTGCTTTGCTTTGAAAGACATTAATCCCCATTTACCAGCTATTATTTTATGGTTGAATATGTATTTTGTGTACTTAAACCCTAAAACAAGAAATGAAATAAATTTCCACAGTACTGATGGCTCTGAATCATCCATATTGCAGTACCTGCTATGCATTTACAAAAATATTTTCCATGAAAGTACTAAAGAAATATATTGTATAGACATGCTGACAACAATCTCTGCATAATCTAAATGCAGATGTAGCGTGAGCTTCACTGTGTTTGCTTTTCATACTTCCTGATCAGTAGGAAGTAGAATATTACTACATTTATACTATCCTATGCTTTCATCATGAATATCCTTGGACATAAAATGTTCAGATTATTAACATTTTGTAAATCCCACAACATAGGAAAAATAAACCATATTCTTTCATAACTAACTAAAGTATATCTTAAAGTACAACACATATTTGAATTCAGTCCTTCTGAAAAATGGATTTGCTCTTTCATACAATCCCAGCAAACATTTATAAGCTTCCAGAACTCCAATTGAATTTAAAGGGAAGAACTGATAGATGAACAGCTATTTAACATGTCAGAAAATGGAATAATTTTAGATTTCATTTACATATAAAACACCTTTACAAAAAGCTTCCAATAAAACCAAAGCATTTATTACTTAATGTCTGCTTATTTATTCTGATTTATTATAGGAGTTCCAACAACTCCCACATCCCTTAAGAAAACTGAGGCAAGCATGAGGAATTTTTTTCAGAAAAAAAAAGCAGGGCAAGGAAGGGAATCAAAGCTGTGGTAAGTCAAAATCTTTTACATTACATCTTTGAAAGTCCAGTCATCTAGAACTTTACAGAAACTGCAATAAACAGATGAACATGCAGCATGATTTACGTACTTAAAATGAAGATCTTTGAAAGTAAAGTGAGTTTCCACTATTCCTGTAGTTTTCACTCTAGTCCTGAGAACATCTTGTTGGGTTGGAATGTAGCTGGTTTGTGCTATCCTGTCCAAGTCATTCAAGTAACTGAAGGTAAAAATAAATACTGCTTTCAGTTATTCATGAAATAGTAATAACAAAGAATTACAGAAGTTCTAGGTCCATTCATTATATTGTGCTTGACGTTTACAGAATAGCTTTCTCTGAGGAAAAAAAACAAAACAAACAAGACATTATTTCCTTCAATTTTCCAAGGTTTTTTGAAATAAGCTTTAGAGACACAAAGATATTTCATTCTAGAAGAAAGAAAACTTATGCAATTGATTCCACTACAAAGAATTCTTCTTTTGAAGTCCCAAAATGCAAACATGGTTCAACATACACCAGTGTTGTTCACATTAACTAGAAGAACACCATCTTTATAACCTATTGAACTACAAGCTACTTTGAACTATAATCAAAGCCCAAAATTACCCTGGATTTGACAACACACATGAAAAGAACAACCCAGTGTTTTGGCTAGAACCAATGTGCTTAAGAAAATGCTTAATACATAACAATTAACTTTCTATTGAGGATTCCTAATTGCAAACATTTTTATCATAGTCTACTTTCATTGACAAAGTTCTTGCGATGCAGACCATGCAGCCCTTTATTTCTAAAAACCATACAAATCTTATTTGTGCTTTTCCCATAGTAAATAGGGAAGGCATTAAGTTCTTCTTTCAGTCTAATCAGAAGTTAGCAATTTTAAAGATACAACTGCATGGCTAGAAGAACAGATTTCTTATGAAACTGGAGGTAAAGTTATCTAAACCAACAAAATAGAACAGAGGAGGCTACCAGAGGAAAGTGATGCTCCAAATGAAATGTTCCATATTTAAGAAAATAACTCAAGTCAAGATATCTGTCATCCTGAGCTCAGCCTGCTGCCATCTACCCTCTGTATCCTTAGAACAATTTCAGCAAACAAGTAACAATCACAATGGAAGTATCAGTGCTATTTCAATACAATTTAATCATATTTCTACTCATTCAGTGTGCCTATAACTACCTTACTTCAGCTGTCATCTTCTCAGTTACCTTAGCTGCATGCTGGTTATTTACATAGTTATTCTACAGAATAGAAATACCTTATTTTAGGGAAAGTGAAAAATAACTTCAAACACTACAAATTAATTAAGCTTTAAAAAACTGCCCTACAGGGCAACAGACCAATATCCCTGCTATGCTATTTGTTACCATCTTACCTGTCCCTCGATGGACTCTTTTCCTTGACTGACTGACCATTACTTGCTGACATCACATCTTATTTCTCACACCCTTGGCTCCTTACTATGTTATTTTCTAATTAAGTACCCTAACATAGAAGACAAAACCTCACTGTAACCTTTGTTCAACACATTTCTAATGGAGACTGTTAATTAACAAAGAAAATGCAGCAACATTGAACCACAGAGAAACTAATTCTATTATGAAAGCAGTATCCTTGGTAATACAGATTCACAACATGTAAACAAGTTTCCAGAACATGTTCAGGTAGTAACAGGTACTTGAGTCACGTTTTTGTAATAAAAATGCTATGTAACATATGAAAGTACCTTAAAGCAAATTTTGTCTTCCTCAAGAGGAAGAAACAACTGGTCAGAACATGACTCAAATTCTTATTTATACCATACCTCTTCCTCTCCAACTCTGAAGGTTAGTTGCAGTATTTTGACCCAAGTAAACAACATCTTTGTCCAGGTACTTCTAAGTTTTCCATCTACATGGGAGCAGAACTCCTCAAAAGATGATATTTGTGTCCTATTCCTTCAGCTACTACTTACAAGACCAAAGTAAGGCTTGTTTGTCACGTAGTACTTACTAGGCAGCAGAGTCATTAAGCTGGTATTCTCTAGATCTGTTGAAACAAGCTTGAACTCCACTGTCTTTCCATAGTCTCTTGATAACTCCAGCAAGCTCTGCAGTCATAAAGCCTTCTTCTGCTGCTCCAGCCAACACAAAGAGTTGCCGAGCATCATCCTTTAGGTTGTAAATAGAAAGGGGCAAAAGGGGAGACAAACATTGAGAAAAACAACAGAAGTATTACCACTTAAGAACTATATTCAACAAATTAGATACTTTCTTAACCTAGTAAACGTGAATGTGACCAAACCAAAAAATGTGAAGGAAAACAACTGGTTTTAGTGCTCTCCATAGGATATTAATTCCCACATTTTTCAACAACAGAAAGACTAGTCCACCAAATTTCTCATTAGCTGATAAAGCTTCTTCTGATCTGCTTACTTCTTGAACTAAGCTTTTACAGCTCAAAGTAATAATATTATTTCATGGTCCAGTCTCAAGTTAACCTTATTTACTTCTCAAATACCACAAACTGAATAGAACGGTTACAATGCATACTAGAATCTTCAGAAATGCAGGTATATATGTTCATTGACTGAAGAAAACAAATTAGTCACTTAAGCTTCAAAAAACAACTTTCTTTGAAAGTGACAAATCATCTTTTCTTCCCAAATCATGCATCAGGAAATAGAAAAATACTTCCTAAAACCTTTCCAGAGAAATCAGTTACAAATATCTGTTACCTTAATTATTCTGCAGAGACCAAGTTTTCTTGGTAATGCCATATCAAGCAAACATCAAGATTTTTAAGAGAGCAAATGGTGGATTGTAAGATTATGCAGAGTGAGACTAATAGAGCACAGAACGTTTACCCACCAATTTCCTTTAACAGAATTTGACCAGATGGCTACCTTCATCCAGTTCTGACTGAGGAAAGAAACTTTAAAATGTTAGACCTCTAAGGCATTGGAAAAAGAGAATAGCAGCTGCGTAAAGAGACCCACATTAGTACTCTCCTGTGGGTAGCTGCTTGACCTTGGTTATTAGCTGTATGTGATCTAATGCCAAGGTATGTCAGCCAGAAAAATCAGCATATCTGTGGCTTGTAACTACTACCCACAGCATGTACTGTTTGTCTAATATTTAAAAGAAAGAAAACAGATGATACTGCAAAGGAGGAAGGCAAAAGAATTAAGCACATCAGTTGGGAACTGAAAGTATTTTAAAACCTCTTCTTTCTTGAAACAAGCAACATGTAAGGCTACTTTCACAAAACAGTACGTGTACGGATACAAATCTGTAGAAAAATCCAGTTCTGTCACCTTTGCTGTTCAAACAAGCTATGAAAAAAACCAACCCAACATTCTCAAGACAAGCACAGAAAGTAGTGATTGTTCTGAAGATATTTTTTGCTGTAGACTTCAATAATCAAAGATTATACCAGCTAGCAGGAAACTGTTTGCAGATGGATTGAGTAATATTGACATTCACACCCTGAAGACAAAAATCTAGTTCAGTCACCTCAAGGGAAACTTGAAGAGATTTATGTATATATATGTAGTTATATATGAACAACAGGTAACTGATACATAGTTGAAAAAGTCTTCTGAAAGCTAGAGGAGCTGCAAATCTAAAAATGAACATATGTAAAACAAATTAACAGAATAGGAATTACTGTACATGCACAGGAGAAATTGTGGGCAACTAATAAAAACTCAATGGATTGCACCAATAACTATGTTAAAAAAACAAAAGAGCAGTAAAGATCAACGGGTTGGATAGTTAGGTCTCACTGACTGTAGCTGGAGCAATGTGCCTGCATAAAAGAAACCTGAATGACAATTTGGTTGTGAATACTGTTTGTGGATGCAAATGCCAAGGACCTACAAGTCACAGAAGCTGCAAATCTTGAAGAAGAGCCAATATATTAAGTCACACGATGGAAACAGCTTAGAAACACACAGTCAATTTTGCCATGAAGGATTAGGCCATTTTATACCTAATATGGTCTGACTTTTAAACATATACAGTTCACCTTGTTTAAACAAGCTCCAATCTCTACATGCTCTAAAATGAAGGGGGAGAGTATAACAAGAAAATCAGTTTCAGCTTTTTGAAAGCCCAAACATTAAAATAAAAAGCGGTCTCTGTTACTCACATACTCCCTTTTCTAAGGAAGGCAAGTACTACAGATACCACAAGACCAAAAGTGAGGCAGTATCCAATAAGAAAGTCCTATTTTCAGGATAAGCAGTGCTAGATACTTTCCTTTAATTATACTGGCAGATTCCTTTCTAGGTAGCACTATTTTTATACCAAAATTCATAAATGAGATAATGTAAATAAATTAATTTAACCACCTCTCTAGCCAATTACAGCAAATCTCATATTCAGAAAGCGGTCCATACTCCTTTAAAGCACATTCATCAAATGTCTCTCAAAATATAGTTTCTACTTCAGTACTGAAACATCCTGTAGAAGAAAGGAGGATACACCAGCCTTGAGATCGCCCATTACTGAAGCTGCTGGTGTAACCTGTGCTCCCTTGATTTGATAGCTGTAAAAAAGAAAATGTTCAACTCACTGTTTTACCATTAGTCTTATGACAAAAATAAGAGCATATGATTTTCCAAAGACACTTACTCCATTTAGAGTGAAACCCTCCCAAATTCCCCTCAGAAACTTAAATGGAGGAGAGTCTGAACTAACAGTTTTCAGGAATTACAATGCTGATCTTTTTTTTCTCTGAAAACTGACAAAATTGCAACGAAATAGAATAAAATTAAAGAGGCTACACTATAATAATTGAGGAGTAACCATACTTTTTTTTTAAGTGAGACTGATGTATAACACAAGCTCCAAATTCCTTTTTCCATTTCTGACTTTACAATTGGCAAAAATCTAGTACTGATGTTCCATAGCAGCATGGAACATGCTCTTTTCTTCTCTGAAAAAAAGAACTTGGATCACCAAGACCTGCCCAAGTCCAAAGAGATGGACAGCTATTTTAAGATTATCCCGACAAAAGTTTGCGTCATCATTTATATAGCTCTCTGAAGTTGACAAATTCTGATGACTTCAAATTGGTAACATACATAAAAAGTATCACTCAAAATCTTGTTAGTCATTCTATCTGCTAATGCCTAAATTTACTCCTCCTCCGTTTTCTGATGCTGTGTATTTAGTAACATGAGTCTACCATCTGCCTCTTTCCAACATTAACTGCCAGCCTCCAGAGAGGACTCCATTGTATAAATACTGAACTAATGTGTGATAAGATAATGTTGCTGCCCTGAAGAACTTTGGTCTTAAGGGAAGACATCAGCAAATATGAGAACACCTGTAGAGAGGAATAACCAATGAAAATGAAGATTTTACTAGCTATGTTTACAGTTAAAGAGGTTTCAGGTGGAATTAACATATGTACATAAAATAAAAATGACTATCAAAGTGCAAAGTGAAAATGAGCTATTAATTCACATGACTGCCAATCAGACTTAGGTTTCGGATACAACTTGATGACCCACTTTACATAATCTTATGAATGTTTGTCTTCCTTATGACAGCCATACATAATGCATTTCACGAGGTCAATGAAGGTATACTTTCTAATATTTATAAATTGCTTCTTAAGCAAACAATAAGATCTTGGACACAAGACTGTCATGAATGAAGAATTTACCATTTCTTATTTTTCAAGACACTCCTCTCCTCCCAAAATGTAATTCAACCTTAACATGACGTAAAGAACTTAATTATGACAAAATAACTGACTGCCTTACATAAATATTTCAATACATGCAGAGAAAAAAAAAATTCCTCCATCTTTCCTGAAAGACAACCATAATGTGGCTAGTTTCTGCTTCAAAAACTTTACTGAGGAACACTCCATATTCTGACATTGATTTCTATGGAAAGAAAATACAGGCACATATCCTGAACTAAGTTTCAATGCTATTGAGACTAACAACTTTGGTGACCAGTTTCAGTAAAATAAAGTCCTCCACATTAGAACCCAGCATGAAACAGGATCAAGCACAGAGGCTGGTAATGTTTTAGGCACCGCTATGTCTATGACCTAATTGAAAAGTGTGGACAGTAGCTAGATTCCTGCCTATTTAAGCTGTGTTTTTAAGAAATGTGAAGATTTTTAACTTACAGGACTTACAGAAGATAATAGCCCAAAAATTCATACAAATAAAGAGACATAACTGCATAGTTTAATGATTTTCAAAGATCTCCAAAGACTCAGTTGTTTAGTTCTCCAAATTTTAACAGAATTTGGAGAATTGTACCTAAACCGATTAGCTGTCATGAAGCAATGCAGTAGGTCACTATGCCATGTTAAGACCAATGGCATTTAGTTTTCAGTAAGACTTTGCATCCTACAAAAAAGATATCAAGAGGTTTTTGTTAGGAAATAGTAATGAACAAAAACTGAAAATTCATAGGTATTTCAGCTGTATATCTGTGTGTGTACTTCAATACTCACAGCTCTGGCTGAATCACCAAAGTCTATCTTCAACCTCCCCATTGCTCTAATGATAGCAATAATGGACTGAATGGTGTTACTGTAGACAACAGCTTTGTACTGCTTACATTCTTCTTCTGAATAACCAGCTTCATGGATAATCCTACAGAAGGAAAAAAAAATAATTCTCTATTCAAATTTAAAAAAAAACAAACAATTTTTTCTCTATCACAGTATTTCACCATACTTACTTCATTTGTTTAACAATTGTGCTTTTTCCTGATTCACCAGCTCCTGAAAAAGATGTGTGAAAATCCATTAGACTTTTACTAAGTTTTGAAAATACATTTAGTTTCTACACTTCCAATACATAACCAATATAAAAACCTTCAATAAAGTATATTTGCTACAAATTAATTTTTAATATCAAAATGTAAGTGTCTAGAACTGGAATTTTCAAAATCAAGATAAGAACAAATCATTCAGCTCCAAAAAGTCTTTGTTTTTTCTTTTTATACTGAGAGTATAATCTTCACAGTCTTCTGGCATTTTTCATGCAAACAGACAATCAGCTGTCCAAAGAGATCTGAAGCTCAATTCCCCTGTCTTTTTAATCAACACCTAAGCAAAAACCTCCTTTATAAGTTCTTCACACTGTGTTAATGGTCTTCACTGCAAATGAACATCTTCAAACTCTTCAGGGTTCCAGCTCTTGTAACCATCTTTTGGCCCTTACAAGAATAAACCAACACAGTCAGACTACTTTTTGTTGAAACAGATTGCATGAGGTTTGACAGACACGCATGCTGATACCACTCTCAATGCTTAACAAATTAAAAAAACCAAAAACACACAAAAAAACCCCCACAACCCAAAACAACAAAGCAAAACAAAAAAGCAGCAGGCTATGTTAAATGCAGTTTTCACTGTCTCAACAACCTTAGTTTATTTACCTCCACTTTCTTTAGTCTGCATCTTCCTCTGAAAAATTTATGAAACTCTTATAGCTGTGATCTAATCTTGCTAGACAGCAGGTTCCTGGTTTGTCTGTCACTTGTGCTAAAATCTCCCTCTTACACTTCCTCTTTCTCATTATGGTTTTGTAAAGCAGAGTATAATCCTCACACAGTCTACAGGTGTTTCTAATGCAAACACATCACCAGTTGTCCAGTTCCAAAACAATCAAATAAAATTTCTTTAGAGGTCACTGTAACCATGGGAAGACACTGATGAAGGTGGTACTTATATTCACAAAAGGGCAAGAAGGGGAATCAGACATTATAAGACAGTCAGCCTCACCCTGATCCTCAGACTAACTATACAGCAAATACTCTTGCAAGTCACTTTCAGGCACATGAACAAAAAGAAGGTGACTGGGAATTGCTAGCACAGATTCACAAAGTGCAAACTGCATCTAATTTGGATAAGTTTCTGTGAGGAAAGGGCTGGTTTGGGGGATGAAGTACACCAATGGATGTCATTTACACTGACCTTCTAGAACATCCTTATACCAGAGCAGGTAAATATCAACTTTAAGGTGTCTGAAAACCTGCTTAAACAGCCAGACTTAAAAGACTTGTGGTCAATGGTTTAAAAATCTAACTGGAAGCCAGTTAAAAGAGACAATCTTCAGGAGATTACACTGGGATAAGACAGTTTAGTATCTTCATCAGTGACCTGAAAGTCAGAATGGAATACACCCACATCAAGTCTGCAGGTGACATCAGCTTGGGAGGCCAGGAATTGGTTGCAGTGTTGGAGAACAGAGGTGTTATTCTGAGGGTCCTCAACAAGCCAGAGGACTGAGCTGACAGGAATCTCATGACAGTGAGCAGAGACAAATGCGAAGTCCTGCAAGTGCCACAGAATAACCCAAGCTACAATACAGACTTGGAACTAATGGGTTAGGGAACAGCCTTGTGGAAAACAGGGATCAACAAGCTGAAAAGTCAGTAGGAGGCTCTTGTGACAATGAGGGTCAACCACATACTGGGCTGCTGCACTGTGTCTGGCTGGGATGGAGTTAACTTTCCTCACAGCGGCCCGTATGGGGCTGTGTTTCAGATCTGTGGCTAAAACAGTGTTGATAACACACCAGTATTTTTGCTATTGCTGAAGAATACATGCACAGCATCAAGGCTTTTTTTCTTTTCCACCCTGTCCCCACCTCTAGCGAGTAGGCTGGGGGAGAAGAGGCTGAGAAGGGACATAGCCAGGACAACTGATACAGGCTGACCACAGGGATATTCCATACCACATGATGGCATGCTCAGCAGTAAAAGCTTGGGAAAAGAAGGAGGAATGGTAGACATTTGTGGTTACAGTGTCTGCTTTCCCAAACAACCATTATGCATACTGAGGCCCTGCCTTCTAGAAAGAGGCCAAACATCTGCCTCTCAGTGAGAAGCAGGGAATCAATTCTTCTTTTTGCTTTGCTTGTGTGCAAACATTTGCTTTCCGTATTAAAATGTCACTATCTTGATTCAAGAGTCCTCTTGGCCACCTTCTATTTTTCTCATCCCAAGGGAGAGCACAGTGATCAAGCAGCTGTGTGGGTGTTTGGGTTTGACTCTGGCCAACAGCTACCACTGCTGCACTGGCAAAACTGCAACCAGTAAGTCAAAAGAAGCTGTTGTTCCCCAGCTGTCAGCATTCACAATGCTGTATCTGAGTACTGCATGCTGCTCCTCCTACCTCAGAACCCACTAAATGAGATACTGATAAACTAGACAAAAAAAACAACCAGGAGCATGTCAGGTTGATAACCTGATTTGATTAGTGCAAATAACATACAAGGAAAAGATACATGAAACAGGGCTTTTTAATGCTGGAAAGAACTATCAGGGTGAGGTGAGGGGTGTGTCTAATTGCTATCCTCTCCATAAGACCTACTTAAAACAGCTGAAGGTCCCAGGTATACAACAAAAAGATGTGAGGCAATCAAGAAGCTGCAGCACAGGCAATTTCACAAACATAAGGTGGGGCAGGGAACCCATCCCCATAGAAGAGGATAAGCATAGAGAGGAAGCAGAAACTCAGCCTTAGAGTTCTTCAAGATTCAACTGGACAAGGCTCTGAGCAACCTTATCAATTTTGATGTTGGCCTGCCTTTGAGCCAAGGGTTGAGCTAGATGACCTCTAGAGGTTTCTTCCAACTTAAAATATCATTTGGTGTCAGATAAGATCATGTTTCTATACCTTGACTACTGTATAATGATGCCTTTGGGATATTCCTCCTATTAAACCAAATACATAGCTCCATGACAGTCTCAAGTCAATTTAAAACTGGCTGCCAAAAGTTGTCTCACTTCCTCCGCAGCACTGCTACTGATGTGGCTGGACTTCCCTTCCTCCAACACACAGTAGAATGAGTGTTACTGCCACCAGAAGCTGCAAAATTAAGTAGCTAAGGAACAGAGTAGGCCTGTTAACATCAATCTAAGATTGCTTAATGCCAACTTTAGTGAATGTCCAAATAAAAAAAAAAACAAACAATCCTTTATTTTTCATAAACCTGCAAGTTTCTTTCTACAGTAGCAACAGTTTGCAGACTCTGAGCTGCCATGGAAGTTCGATAACAGTACATTAATATAAACAGAAAACAGAGACACCAGTACAAAAGTAACTTGTTATTGTGACATATGAAGCATTTATAAACCAAATTAACACTTATTCTGTAAATACCTAATTATGCAATAAGCACAAAGAGGTGACTAAAGATTAGCTTTATTAATGAAATTACTATAATTTGCTTTGGACTAATAATTTTATTCAAACCCTTCGAAGAAAGTATATAACCCTTGCATTCAATAGCAGTTTTGGAGAGGAGTAAGAAATATTACTACAGCATTTAATTTACATTGCCTTGTGAAGTGCTCTTTCTGTTAAAAAAATCGCCACTAACCGAACAGGTCAGTGTCAATACTAGTCACAGTATCAAAATTTAATTTTTTTATAATATACTTTCTACACATTTTTTCCTAAGTAACATATGTGTATTTCTCTATGGTGTTAGAATTCATGTGTCCCAAATACCTACAATTCTCATAAAAACCCTCTCAGTAATATAACCAAAAAAACACTCAATACATATGAAGGAAAAAAAAAAAGTAATTTATTACCAAGTACTTAACATCAACAGTGAATTCCTGGAAGATGCATTCCCTTATTTTATTTCATGGAAAACAGAAACAGTTGTGTTTGCTTTGGGTTTTTAACTGTATGCTAAAATGCCCACAGCTTGCCTAATCTTTGTGAAGCATGTAAGAAAATTACACCTTACTCACTGTCCCATAATAAAGGGGATTCATTTATTTCGCACTCCTGAAGGCAGAGCTCAGCCAGGTTTTCTGATGGATGCATTTATAAAATTTTCTCCTTTATCTCAGTGTGTATAAGTCGTCCATGCAGCAAAATGAGAACTGTTTTAGACAGAGGTAAGCAGTATAAAATATTTCATGTGACAGCTGCACATAAAATGTCAGAGCTAGCTGCACTGTCACAACCAAACCCTACTCAAATTTAGACAGACTTGATTTTATATACCTCAATCATCTAGCAAAGAATGCTATTTATTGTCTACTACTTAAGTGTGATACTTAATTTCAGCTTCACTACCACCAATAATTTGAACAGTCTTATTGGCTCAGTTACTATTTATGTATAACAACAAATACTAAGAAAAAGACATAACAGTTCTGCTCTAGACTAGAAAAACAGCAGTGTATCAGTTCCGAATTTGAAAGGATGGACATTTAGTGTTTGCTTAGTTTTAAATTAAAGTCTAAGCTAACTGTTAGGACATCACTTTCACAAAAAGAAAGTTTTAATAACTCATGAGTATTATCACCTCTCTTGCACACTTTGTGTCCTTCATGCACTCCTCACAAAAAAAAAAAGGGCAACATATCCTATGAAAACTCAGTTTAAAGCACAGAATTTTAAGACTTTTATTCACACAGTTCAGTAGGAATATAACTTCAGCTAAAGTGTAATGCTCTTATTACACCTGCTTGCCAGAAAGCAGGTAGATCCCTATGCTTCATTATGCAGACTGACAAAGTAGAAGCCAAGTATGTGCAACTTAATCAAGACAACACAAAAACCAGCAGAACCATGTTCTCCCCCCCCGCCTCCCCCCCAAGTTTCTACTATAATCTTAAGGGGTTTCTGCCCCAAAGTTTAGCAATTGGGCTCTACCTTGACATGCCAATACTTCCACAGCTGGTACTGGTGCTATCCAAAGCAGCTGTTAGCACATAAGCTCTCCTAACCTGACTAACCCTGCTGCACCA